TTAATTTTTATACACATAACATGTTAAATAATAAAATTTTTAAAATAAATAATTTAAAAAAAAAGGTACGATGGCTGCACGCTTGGTGAAGAAGGTAGGGTATCGTGCAAGCACAATTGCATGCGCCAAGTCTCAGTGCTGCCTTGGCTTCTTCAATGCCATCAACGTTATACAGTGTTCTACATTCTTCAGTGCCTTTTCTTGCAAGCAAGGCTTTATTAAGAAATCTAAAACATTAGAGTAACTTTGTTAATTAGTTGCATTTTCTTAAATTATGCTGTTAAAAACCCAAATTATATGTACCTGAATCGATCAGAATTTTTGCAGGAGTGTTTTCCTAATTTCCCTCTTCAACTTCTATTATAGGAGTAGTTCCTTGCCAATTCTTTAGTGCTGCAACATAAACATCAAGAATCCCTGTAAATATATAATTACAATAATTAAATACATAGTATAGAGTGTGAATTTTAATTTTATTAAGTTGATTCCATGATTATTATTACATATTTTATTTTTTTTATGTTAAATCATCTTGATTTTTATATTTCTCAATTTAAATACATTAATTACTACTAAAAAGATATTGTAATCCCTTCACCTTGATTTTTATGTTAAATCATCTTGACCTTAACGTTGAGCCTCATTCCTTCATCTTTTCTGTCCCTCCCTCTCTAATCCCTGTAACCACTGGCAAGATCAAAAAGAATTTGATCTTTGGGACTGCAATTGCTCAAATTAGAACTAAAACTGAGTCACCAGTGCCATGAACTCTTACTTCATGAAAGCCCACACAATCAAGAGCCCTTTCCCTCGACCAACCTCCGACAGAAAGGAACGCCTTTCTCTTTCATTTATTTTTCTCTCTCTTCTGCAAACCCTAACAGCTGAAAGGATGCATCTATTGCTTATTCCATCAAAATGAAAATGATCCAAGGAGAACAATTGAAACGATAAATCCAAGTAAAACAAACAAACCTATTGAGAATTAGAGCCACCAGCTTCCAGATTACCCATTTCGTAAATCTCAAATGTTTACATCATGCTACATCTAGATGATCGATGCTGATTGGAAAAAACACTCAGATTGAGTCTACACTGATCATGGAAAAGGCAGAACATGCTATTTTCCATAGAAACCACTCCACCTAAATTATTCTACTACAATAACTAAACAAAGCCAAAGATTTTTGATTTAATGAGTGGTCAAGCATTGAAGAACAACTTTGATTTCTTTTTCTTTTTCCTTTTTTTTTTTAACGAACAAACTTTGATTTCAAATGAGCAATCTTACATAATCAAATATACTAAATAATCATTCACACGTCTTGATTGAAGTTAAAGGAACTTATTTTTCATTAAATAAAATCATTTCAATTTAAATTTTATAAATAAAAAAATAAGTACGAAAATTTTTTTTTATGAAATTTAAAACAGTTCGATTATAAATAAATTAAAATTTAATATAATTAATAAATACTAGTATATTAATAAGAAAATCCATTAAATAATCAAACCCATAATACCCACTTGAAAATTAAACGAATTTCACATATCTAATTAACAAGAAATTGAACCTTCAGGCCAAACAAAAAAAAGGAAGAAAGAAATTGAACCAGATGGAAATTGGCAGATTCTTTGGAGAGATGGGAGGAGGCTTCCACTTGGGGCAATAGCGTGGTCATGGGGAGTGGAAGTGGATGGCTTCCACTTGCAGTGAAGGATTTGACGGAAGGAGGGGAGAGAGAGGAACAGTGGCCATAAAGACGGAGATGGTAATATGATAATTCCAACGAGAATTAATTAACAGTTAATTCTTATAAATTTTTTTCTTTTATCTTGTAAAGCTTAATAGTAAGAATTTTCTCTTCTCTCTTAATTTATTTCAATAAAATTAATGTTTTAGCAGATTATCACTAAGTGGTTAACGGATCAATGGTAGGAAGACGGAATGATGACATTTGCTCGCATCATTTATTAAATTTTGTGTGATTTAATTCGGCCGAAATATAAGAAGGTTGATTTATTTTAACATAAAAGCACGAGAGACGATAAATTAGGAGAAAAAGTACGTAGCAAGTCGATTGCAAGAAGGTTGAAAAGTAAATGAGTTAAAATATCTTTTTTGCCCCATATACCTAAGTAAAACTTTACTTTAGTCTTTTACTTTACCAAATTTATAAATTTTAATTTTTTACTTTATATTAAAATGTTTTTAATCTTTACGTATTATAATTAAAAAAATAACCCTTATTTATAATATTTTGTTAATTTTATTAGTTAAATATTTAACTTTATTAACTGACTATCAACTAATTATTAATTGATAAACCTACTTTCAGTTAATAGAGATAATAATTAGCTAACAAAATATTTTTGTTAACTAATTGTTAACTCTATTAACTGATTATTAGTTGATTATTAATTGATAAAAATTAACTTTCAAGTAATAAAATTAACACTCAGTTAACAATTACTTAACAATTAGTTAACAACTAATTAACAGAACTAACGAAATATTATAAAGTGAAAATTATTTTCTTCGATTCTAATAGGTGAGAGGTTAAAAATGTTATAATATAAAATGAGGGGTTAAAACTTATAAACCTAATAAAGTAAAGGGCCAATAATAGGTTTTTGCCAATATATCTATGGCAGTCATTGTCGGGGTTGAAGTGCTCAATTAAGTCCTCTACTTTTTATGGAATTATATACACCTGAATGCCCTTCCTCTCTTGACCTTGATGTTCCTACGGTTATTGCAAGGGTCGAGGATTTGGTCCAAGAATGGCTACATTCTAATAGGGTGGAAAGTGGTGATATGAGAAGAAGGGAGAAGCCATTGTTAGAATGGTTAAGGCTAGAGCCTTGCTCTTTTAAGATAAATTGTGATGGCTCCTTTAAGCTGCCTAACAGTGCAAATGGTACTGCTTATACTAACTAAACTCTAGTGATGAAAACTTTAGCCTTATTAAAAGGCACGATATTTGCTATTGATAGGAGTGACGTTTCTATTGATTTTGAAATATATTCTAAAGATTTAGTCATCTCAATTTAAGAAAATACGAGAGTTTAATGGTTTGTGATTTTAATAGATAAGAACTATTTCAAAAACTATTTTCATTCTTCGAGGCTAATTGTGGTCTTGGTAAATATTTATTTTTAGTTATTTATTTTAATAAATTTGTAAATTTTAATTTTTTATTTTATATTATGATATTTTTAATTTTTTACTTATGTAAATTAAAAAAATAATCTTTATTTAATGTTTAGTTAGTTGATTGTTAGTTTTATTAACTGATTGTTAGTTTTATTAACTAATTGTTAATATTTTTTATAAAAAATATGAAATTTAAATTTAATTTTATTTGTTAATTTCATTAATAGAATATTAATAGTTAGTTAATAAAATTAATAATTAATTATAAAATTAATAATCAATTAACAAAATTAATAAAATATTATAACTTAATATTGAATAAAAATTATTTTTTTAATTTATATAAGTGATAAATTAAAAGTATTATGATATAAAATAATAAATTAAAATTTATAAATTTATTAAAATAAAAAATCAAAAAGTAAGTTTGTATACCGTACTCTTTAGATGCCAGAATAGGGCAGCTAATTGAGCGCAGGCCAGTCGTATAAAGTAAGATTTTTATTTTTTATATTGGATGTTGAACAATTATTGCTACTAGTAAGGATGGAAAAGAGCACGTGCGCAAGCCCTGTTTTGTTTTGTCTTTTTTCTTTTTGGGTGTTTTTTAATTAATCTGATATTATATTAAATTTTAATTAATTTATAACTTAATTACATCGAATCCTATAAAAAAAATCTTTTTCAGTATTTATTTTTTTTTATAAAATTTAAATTCAAAAATTTTTTTTAGGATGAACCTTTTTTTTTTTTCACTTTGACAATCATTACTGTGCGTAAGCCCCACTTTGATACCATACAAACTTCCTCTATCAAAAAGTATACATTTTAATATGATATTTTTTTAACCTCTGTGCACCTTTCCTTCGTGATTGGTATAAAAAAACACAAAAGTTATATTCATTTTTAATATTATATGTTTTATTTTAATTAAATAATAAATAAATTTAAAGTTAAATTTTTACTTTTTAACTATTAAAAAGATAATTAATATATGTTTGACTTTATGTTTAGAAAAACTCAATAATAATATATTCTATTTTGTTCAAATTCAAAAAAAAAAAAAACCATTTTGACATAAAAGGTTTAAGTATTTACAATGAGTAATAATAGAAAAGATAAAAATTTGAGATAAAATTTTAAAATTAATGACATAACGTATACTATATTATTAAATTAATTAATATATATAATATTATGAATTTAAAAAAGTAATAATTTTTAATTATTAAATAATATAAAATTTATTTTTTAATATTTTAAATAACATAATTTATATTATATTATTAGTCTAAAATTTTTTTCAAATTT